TACTGTTGCCTTTAGTAACCGATGAAAAGTTACTATAACTTACCTGTGGAAAAATCTCAAACAAATTTGCTCAAAAAATCAGATTTCAAACACTGGACGTTATTAGCTTACTCATATCTTATGTGTAACGTAACTTACGAAGCTAAAAGACTTCGATACACTTAACCTTTTCTCAGCTAGAGCCGTCAGTATTCTTTGCACCACTAATTCTGCTGAAGAACCTCACGAATGATTTTCACTGGAATCTCATTTCACATCAAGTAATGTGCAAACTACTTGGTTCACCGCCAGTGATTGAGAAGAACTGTGAAATTTCTAATGTATTAGGCGAAGAATGCACTAAAACAAGGTTCTAAAAGTCCCTCTCACTCCGGGCCATATTCGGCCCACATATCCAACTCGTAAGTGATACGACAGCAACTCCCTGTTTTTAAGTCACGCGCATTACAGGTAACAGGTAAGAAACGACCTTCTCTTCGAAACTTAAGCACAGTTGCCCTGACAGCTGTCACTAACGGACACCCAACGACGAGGTTTGACACTAAAGCTGATGGCAGGACAGCTACAGTGGGTCAGAATATTCACTTCCATCCCTAAACTGTGCATGAACCAGCCTGTTAGTTCCCCATCAGCAGTCATTTTTCACTTCGGTTTGTTCGGTGTCTGCTGCTTTGCTTGGAGAAAATAGTGATCTACCATGTAGTCAAACCTAAGCGGTGGCATTTTAGATAATGACTGAAAAATCGTTCCGTTTTTGGAGTTAAGGCTCATTGGGTTCTTGGGATTTTTGCTTATTGGAAATATTATGTTGTGGATTTTTCGTGGTTCGGTAGAATCAGTTCCCACGAGGGGGCTCATGGAATTCTGGAAACCTGCCTATTAGGGGATCAGTGTGCATGAACGACAAATGAGTGCCTGGTACTGATGCGCATAATCGACTACCAGAGTTCGGATGAGGGCACAGTCAACTGTGACCACCACAAGCTCATCTCCTAGAATAGTGAAAAGGGGTCCTTCTGTTAATTATCGTTTGGCAGTATTTTCCATATTAAACATGGAGGCAATCTGCAAAGCCGATTTTTTAAGTGCAGTGATAGGAGTTACTATGCCTCAGAGGGTCACTCTTTTCCTTGAGGATACGTCAAAATGGGGGTGAGACGAAATTGAAGTGCAAATTCGATACAAGGAGAAACCTGTCGTCTTCTAGAAGACCCAAAATAGGTATAGTAACGTCGAATTTGGGTCTGTCCCCACTATAATCGGACCACTTACATTTATAATCATCATCATCACTATCAGCTGTAAGAACCACGTACCTATCGTACAGTGGTTGTAGCTACCGGAGTTTTGTTCACCGATGAGTTGGAGAGGTGGGGTAGATAGCTGCGCATTGGACGCGAGAGCTGAGTAGTTGGTGCGTGAACACAGCACTGTGAGTGGACTGTTAAGCGCGGGAATTGGGAAGAGAGCTATGCGTTGAAGGCTCGAAGACGCTAGAAATGACTGTCAATGATCGTTATTATGGTAAGGGAATCAAGTTCATCATCATCATCAACGACAGCATGACATCAGTGCTCAACACCAATGCTTCACTGCCGTACAACCATGACTTATTTGAAAGCCTTATTGTAAAGAAAAGAATAAAGGTGGATGGGGGAGGGACTTAGTGCTAGCTTAACACAATCATTC